AGTAAGACGAAGCCCAAGATTAGAATTCTGCTCAATCTTGCAGACGTCTTATATAGAAAGACATGGCTGTTAATTTTTACTGATTCATATTAGTGGAAATTTGCTACACTTCTAAGGACTTCAGAGGAGATGATATATGACTCCCACTTAAAGTCCCACGTTCAGATAATTTACAAAATCAGACTTGGACAGCAAAACCGTGTCTTCTTTTTTGACCATGTTCTGTACTCTTCACTAATAAAGCACTTGAAAGCATTTTTTTCCAGGGCTCCGATAGCTCTTTGTAATTGTCCATCTTTTCATTAAGACCAGCAATTATTTCATAGCAGCGATGCACGTGCTGCAGAAATCGCTTTGTGGTTTTCAGGAGCTTAATCTTCTGCACCGTAAATCCTTGTAGCACCAATTCTTTTTCATTTTCTTATGGCCAAACCAGTCCACGGGGTGGGTGGGGAAATCAATTTATATCTTAATGGTCTATCATTCCTCATTGCTTGCATCCTTCCATTCCTCAAAGCAGAATACACCCATTCTACAACTGCCCCTTCTGACCTTGTTATTAAAAACCTACAGCCAATGATTTGTAGTTCTGTAAAGAGGCTAAGGACTCAGTTCATAAGCTCTCAGGCAAAACTACAGACTCAAGCTGGTTTATTCATGGGAGACAATAGACTCTTAAGTCAGTGTTTTTCAAACTTGGCAAGCTGAAGATGTGTGGACGTCAACTCCCAGAATTCTCCAGCCAGTATGGGAATTCTGGGAGTTGGTCCACACATCTTCAACTTGCCAAGTTGGAAAAACACTGATATATATGTACATATGTTCTTTCTTTCCTCTCTGGGATACAGATGAACCCCTAAAGATTTATTTCTAAGAGAAAATGTTAAGTGCCATATCTAAAGAAAGCTGTTGAAACACTTAATAGATCAACTGAAACTCCATCTTCTGCAGAATGATGGTGGTTGCTCTCTGACTTCAGTACCCTACTTTTGGGCACTTCCACACAAGATTTTCCGGTCCATGCAAATCTTCTAATTTCACATTCAGAATCATGCAGTTGGACTTCTTTGACTCTTAGAGAAGCAAGCACCCCTGCCTTGTAGGTCTGTAGCACTTGAAGTCAACTGACAGCCAATGAGAATGTCCCTTTCCTGGCCAATAGGTGAGCAGAGATGTATTTATGTAGGATTTTTATTGATTCAGTAAATTTAAATCCCGCTTTCCCTCAAAGAACTTCTCAGAGTGGTGTACCACACACTCCCCCTCCAGTTTTTTCCTTGCAATAGCAACTGTGTGAAATGTTGGGCTGAGAGTCAAGAATTGGCCCCCAAGTCATCTACTGAACTTCCATGGCTGAAACTGGATCTGAACCTGGGTCTCCTTTCTCTAGTCCCAGGTTTCTCAACCTTGGCAACTTTAAGATGTGTGGAGCTGGGGAATTCTGGGAGTTGAAGTCCACTCATCTTAAAGTTGCCAAGTTTGAAAAATACTGATGTATATGTATTCATTAAAGGGCATTACATGTTGAATATGCAGTTGTCTTGGGTCCCAAAAAAAAAGAAGCATATGTTTCTTGTCTTTGATAGTAGCGTCATTGCTCAAGACACTAGGTTTAGAATCTTTTTTTCCCCCTATAATACAAATGATTAAAAAAGAAACAAATTTTAGGAAACATGTCCCATCTGAAAAAGCAAAAAGGATAGTGGAAAACAAAATAGCTTTGGGGAATACCGTATGTACTGTATATACCACAGTTTTGAAAATAATTTTTTTCCTGCAACCTAGAACCAAGTTACAGTACAGTGTGAGATTCAGATATTAGAACCCAACAGTGTTGATTCAGAACTACTAATTATCCTTATGCCAGCAATATTAAGTAAGTAGTATTACCTCCCGCTTATAACATTTGAACTTCCAAATTGATCCTTTTTTTGTGCTACTTATTTTAGAACTGTGACATACAGTGGAAACTAGCCATGTTCCTGGTCTTTTTCGATAACTTGTTACACTTAAGATGAGCAATATAAGTGAAATAAATAGAGGCAAAAATGAAAGCAATTGCTAAAGAAGATGCGAATTTGAGAA